ATGGTTAATCTAGCCCCCCTCCCCCTCCCCACACTCACAGACACACACACACACACACAGAGACGTAGGCTCAGAGAGAGAGAGAGACATAAAATGACAATTTTCAAACCAAAATATCTGACTTCCTGTTGGTTGGAGCTATTGAGTGTAAATTAGAAAGTTGTCTGGCTCGAGGAGAACAATACACATACAGATTTTTATTACTGTAGATAAAATTAATCCCCCCACTTTTGACAAAAGGTGGCGCTACTGAGCCCCTCACCACGCCCGTTTCTGAAACTTTGCACATGTCTACTGGCTAATAAATGCAATGTGTCTGTCGAGTTTCATGCAATTTCAAGTATGCTAAGAGTCTCAAAAGCATAAAAAAAGAATATTAAAGTTTGATGCGTTGCCACGACAACAGTATCTAAGATATCAAGAATCCATTCACAGGTCTACATCTGCCGTGTGTTTACATTATAGTAGTGAAGTTTGAAGCAAATCGGGTAAAAAGGGTGATTTCAAAGCATTTTGAAAGTGACACACTTCCTTCTGCCAGTTGGTGGCGCTATAACTTTAACTCACAAGAGTCACATCCATGTGATCGGCCTCTTACGACGAACACACTACTGAAGTTTCATCAAGATCAGTTAATGTATGAAGAAGTTATAACACACTTCCTGTTTCCATTATTCGCCATAATTTCGTTTCCTCGCCACGGCCAAACCGTTCGAGATATCAAAAATCCGTTCGCAATTTGGGATCCTCAATGTCTTGACTACATGCACACCGAGTTTGGCGATGATTGAATGAATTCCCTAGGAGAAGTGTTTCAAATGCCAGAGTATGCGTTTCCAAACAACCCTAAATAGCCGACTTCCTGTTGGGTTGGCGTAAAAAGTAAGAGCATGAAGGATATATGAACCGATGAGATCTATATGTGTACCAAGTTTCAAATTATTACAAGCAAGCGTGTTTGATTTATAGACCCAGTTTTCGGACCCCGTTCCAGGGGGCGCTGTCGAGCCCCCCTGCCACGCCCGGGTACCAGCTTTCGAGCACGTTAAGAGCCCCAAAAGTGCCCGAAAGGTTGACAGAAAAAGAATAATAAATATAGCTGCGAGCAGCGATTACGGGCCCAAGCCGGTGGCACCGCAACCCCTTTAGTTACCTAAAGGCACCGGAGTGGCGGTGCCGCCGGCTTTGGCCCTTCATCGCTGCTCACAGCTATATATATATATATATATATATATATATATATATATATATATAAACAAGCCGGTGGCACCGCCACCCCGGTGCCTTTAGGGTTACTGTGCATGACGGGCAATAACGTAACTCCGCTTTGACCTTTGAGAAGATGTGTGCTGTAGAGCTTGCATTGGTGTGGGCTCTGCAAAAGTGTGCATTGAGGGCACATATCAACCACAAAGTATGCGTGAGCAACCTTCTGAAACCTAAAATGAAAAATGAGACACCCTACGGTCTCATGGACTTAATGGACACATGAAATAAGTACACAAGTTTGAAAGTTATATGAAGTGTGCCAAGACAGAATATTTGCCTGATCTGATTAGAAAAATAGTTTGTGTGTGTGTGTGTGTGTGTGTGTGTGTGTGTGTGTGTGTGAGGCGTGATTGAACAATGTAGACATAAAAACATACTCCGTCCTTTTGTTCATACAGGACATTATTCAAACTGCAAAGTGTTTACTTATATTTGTGTACAATCGCAATAAAACACAACATTGTGCTTTTGTTAAACTGTAAACTACAACTGTCACCCAACCAAAATCTCTTACACACACACACACACACACACACACACACACACACACACACACACACACACACACACACACACACACACACACACACACACACACACACACACACACACACATAGTTTAAAAGCAAACATTCTTTTGGACATTCATCATATTGCATTGGTTTTCATTTATTGTCCTCGAACAGAGCCCTAATCTGTTTATTTTTTCAGTTACACATTCTACATTGATTAAAAAAGAAAAATCAAATGTGTTTTTATTTTATACATAAATAAATAATCTATCATTCAGATGAGAATAAAGTTAGTGTTAGTTTAAATTTTAAAGAAAACAAATATATGACCTGAAATATAGCACATTCATTTAAAATTCATTCAGGTTCAATTACCAAACATACAAATCTCAATGTAATTTAAAGCAAACACTACATTTAAAATAAATGGGTTGTATGCTATTTTTTTAATATAAAAAGATATATATCCAAAAAGACAAGGCCTAAACTTTAACAAGGGTTAAACAATCACTGTAACAGACACAATCACACACACACACACACACACATCAAATCACTTACATTTTAAAAGCAATATTGACTTTTTTTTCTGTTTCAGCAGCGAAAATAGTTAAACAAAGATCACAGCAGAACCATCGAGCATCTCACAGCAACGCGTTCTCATTACTAAATGATTCAGCATTTTGAACGAATCGGTTGACTCAAAGATTCAACGACCAATCCATAATCTGTCTCATTCATGAATGACTCAGCCGTTCGAACGAATCGTTTGAACGAATGAATCAATGACTCGCTCATTAAGACGGTCGCCTGGCGACACCTAATGACGGTTTAGTGATATTAAAAGTATCTTTCTTTCCAACGATTGTTAATTAACTCATATTTGAAACATAAGCTATATATATATATACACACATACCGGTATATATACACAAAAATAAAATAAAAACACATTTGAAGCGTGTTTGCTTACTAAATTGTGAGCTGAACGAAAGTTGCAGCAAATATCAGCAACAGGAGTCAAATTTCATTAATCACGAGAGTGAAGAGCTGACTAAAAAGATGATGAGGCTAAAAATAGAATAGGCTATTTTATGTAAAAGCCCCTATTTAGGCAAATCTATCATTGTACTCTTTTGTTGTTGTGTTTTCCGTGAAAAATAATAGACTATTGAACTCACAATTCAAGCAATCGGCCCCGTTATTGCACTAATTTTAAAGTGACACTAAAAAGTATGCGGCTGCACTGGCATTCATAACGGTGCGCGTCCATGGCTACGAGCGAGCAGAGCTGAGCGAACGGTTAGTTAATTTCTACTTCCATAGGAATTCATTCGAGCGCTCTGCAAGCGCCACCACTATCAATGTGGACGTCCGTATTTAAAAGCTGTAGGTCCTCAGTCACATACCAAATATATGTATATATAAATATAATTTGGACACAAGAGGGCAGTATGGCCCTATGTATAATTTTGTGTTTAAACTAACTATCACTCGAAGAGCCCCTCCCCCCTCCCCACACAGACACACACACACACACACACACACAGTTCACCCGCGCCTCTCTCTCTCGCGCACACACACACACACACACGCGCACACACACACACACACACACACACACACACACACACACACGCACACACACACACACACACGCGCACAGACTCCTCAATGTCTGACCATGATGTGCACATGCAAGTGTATACAGTCTGTGCTAAGTGATTTTACCGTTAAAGTTGGCATTCTTTTATTGAATTATTAAAAAGCTTTCTTTTATCAAATTATTTAAAAGCATCTCTATTTTGTCCTGGTGTCAGAAAATGGTCAAGGCAATGACAAAGATTCATGTTATTGGTATTAATTCACCAATATGGTGTCAGACCATTTTCTGACACCAGGACAATATAAATATATAAAAAAATATATTTACAAATAAAAAAAAAGAATATAGGCCATTGCTTTTCGCACTTAAACTATTATTCAACACACACACAGTGTGCAGTTGCAAAGAAGAATAGATGCGTGACATTATATTCATAATAAGAAAACAATTTATTTCCTTGCAGCGAGAGTGTCAGGCAACGCGTTATACTCGCGGTTCAGCCGCGGCTGACTGGATGAGCGTCCAGCAAGCGTCTGTATGCTGCCAGTCGGATCACGGCCATTTGACTGGTTATATTGGGATAACAGTCCCCAAAACAGCAATCATACACAAGAATAAAGGCATGACATTATATTCATAATAAGAAAACAATTTATTTCCTTGTAGCGAGAGTGTCAGGCAACGCGTTATACTCGCACTATGAGCCGCGACTGACTGGATGAGCGTCGAGCAAGCGTCTGTAAGCTACCAGTCTGATCACGGCCATTTGACTGGTTATATTGGGATAATAGTCCCCAAAACATCAATCATACACAAGAATAGATGCGTGACATTATATTCATAATAAGAAAACAATTTATTTCCATGCAGCGACAGTGTCAGGCAACGCGTTATACTCGCACTATGAGCCGCGACTGACTGGATGAGCGTCGAGCAAGCGTCTGTAAGCTGCCAGTTGGATCACGGCCATTTGACTGGTTATATTGGGATAACAGTCCCCAAAACATCAATCATACACAAGAATAAAGGCATGACATTATATTCATAATAAGAAAACAATTTATTTCCATGCAGCGACAGTGTCAGGCAACGCGTTATACTCGCACTATGAGCCGCGACTGACTGGATGAGTGTCGAGCAAGCGTCTGTAAGCTGCCAGTCTGATCACGGCCATTTGACTGGTTATATTGGGATAACAGTCCCCAAAACATCAATCATACTAAAGAACATAATCATATCAACAGATTCCTAATAAATGAGCTAGAAAGAGAGGAACACAAAACACAAAAACTCAAAAATCAATGGTTTCTGAAACTTGCTAAAGGCAGACTGCCAGACAACTAGCCAGCCACTGACAGGTCATGTGACCTGCCAGTGGCGGCTCCTGCCAGCCAGCTGAAGATTGAACCCCTACTGGAATAGCCTATTATACCATTAGTACAAAATCAATTGGCAGTGAAATGCTGTGATTGACCAATGAGAATAAAGTGTTCCAGAAAGCTGTATAATTAAGAAGTGTAATGAATCAAATCAAAGAGCTTAGCAGTAGCACAATACTTTGAATGTATTTGTTTGATAAGCAAACCATTTCTCTGCTGTATCTTGTAGAACGCCCTGGACAGGAGTGAAGAGCTGACTCCATTAGGATTTCATCTAGCCCGTATGCCTGTAGAGCCTCACATAGGAAAAATGATTCTGTTTGGGGCTCTTCTTGGCTGTTTGGATCCTGTGCTTACCATTGCGGCCAGCCTTAGCTTTAAAGATCCCTTCTTCATACCACTGGTAAATACAAACACACACTTTCACATAAACACATGTGCAGCCCCAGAGGGCGTTCTCTAATGAGGGATTGTTTCACTGATGGATGCGTTTATCTCAGGGAAAGAAGAAGATCGCGGACCACAGGAGAAAAATACTCTCCCAAAACTCTAGAAGTGATCATCTCACTATTGTCAATGAATTTTGGGTAAGTCCTAGAGAGTTTATTTTCATTAAAAAGTCACTCTTAATGGTTAGCTCCCAGCTGGTCCTGGCATGACACATTCACAGCTAGCCATAGGGATCTGTGCTGAGGGCTCATCTAGTCACTGAGAATCTGTCCTGAGGGCTTGTTTTGTCGAGGGCTTGTTCTGTCAAGGTCTTTGCTGCCCATGAAGGGCTATCATTGTACTATAAAAACATACAGAAAGTTTTAGAACACAAAACTCGATAGAGATGAATACAGTGGCAAAAGACGACCTGCACACAGATCAATGATGATTATGACGTCATCATTACCTCTTTGACCTGCCCACTGGTGTGTTAGTGAATATGGACAGGCAGGAGAAATAACACAACATGATCAGTAAATAACTTTATCTTCCAAAGGGACTTAATGATAGGAAAGTGTTTTTTTGTTTGTTTTTTTTGTGAATATGTTGAAGTGCATTATTTGTTTGTTTGGTACATTTCTCTGTGGATTCTTTGATAAACCAGCCACAATTAGAGGTCGACCGATAGTGGATTTTACCGATACCGATATTTAGGTTTGACCGTACGTGCCGATAACCGATTAATCAACCGATATTTTTTTGAATGGATACTGGATATAAAAAAAAAACATAACACTCCAAGTAAAACAGTGCTGAACTGAAATGTGCTATATGACATAAATATATAACTATGAATATATTAAAATGAGAAGTTCTACAGAACGAATTCTAGAGAAAATAATTTAAACATTTAAAATATTACAGGTTTCTTTAGCTATAACCTAATAACATACGTAAATTTCATAGGTAAAACACTAATGCAGCATCTAGTCAACAAATTAATTACTTTCTAATGATATGGCAACATGGACTGTAGTATTTTGTATACCGTTTCGCCGTTTCAGCGCTCTCGTACTGTGCAATGACAGCGCACTCTTCTCAGCGCTCTTGTACTGTGCAATGACAACGCACTCTTCTCAGCGCTCTTGTACTGTGCAATGACAACGCACTCTTCTCAGCGCTCTTGTACTGTGCAATGACAACGCACCCTTCTCAGCGCTCTTGTACATGTGCAATGACAACGCACTCTTCTCAGCGCTCTTGTACTGTGCAATGACAGCGCACCCTTCTCAGCCCTCTCGTACATGTGCAATGACAACGCACTCTTCTCAGCGCTCTTGTACTGTGCAATGACAACGCACTCTTCTCAGCGCTCTTGTACTGTGCGATGACAACGCCCTCTTCTCAGCGCTCTTGTACTGTGCAATGACAACGCACTCTTCTCAGCGCTCTTATACTGTGCAATGACAACACCCTTCTCAGCGCTCTCGTACTGTGCAATGACGGCGCACCCTTTTCAGCGCTCTTGTACTGTGCAATGACAACGCACCCTTCTCAGCGCCCTCGTACTGTGCAATGACAACGCACCCTTTTCAGCGCTCTTGTACTGTGCAATGACAACGCACTCTTCTCAGTGCTCTCGTACTGTGCAATGACAGCGCACCCTTCTCAGCGCTCTCGTACTGTGCAATGACAACGCACCCTTCTCAGCGCTCTCAGCCCACCCTTCTCCAGCAACGGACGCAACCCGGAAAAACTATTGGTATGGATTTCTGCCGATAACGATAGTTCCACCAATCAACTATCTGTACCGATATATCGGCAAAACCGATGAATTGGTGGACCTCTAGTCACAGTTCAATGCAAGATTTACAAATAGACTTTTACTTAAAGATACGGACCTGACAGTAATGCCGCATCATGGGGGGTTTTGGTATTTACTAGTTTGGGGGAACAGACACAGTCTCTATGTTATGATATCTAAGTGAAAGAGTCTCTACATTGGGTTCTAACGCCCCAGTAAAGTGATGGGGACACTATACTGTCAAAGAGCACCGTCCTTCGGATGAGACGTTAAACCGAGCTCCTGACTCTCTGTGTTCACAAAAAAATCCCAGGATGTCTTTCGAAACGAGAAGGGGTGTAACCCCGGCATCCTGACCAAATTTGCCCAGTGGCCTCTTTCCATCATGGCCTCCTAATCATCCCCCATATATATATATATACATATATATATACTAATTGGCTTCATTACTCTGTTACCTCTCCAACAATAAACTGGTGTGTGGTGGGCGTTCTGGCGCAATATGGCTGCCGTCGCATCATCCAGGTGGATGCTGCACATTGGTGGTGGTTGAGGAGATTCCCCCCTTCCATGTAAAGCGCTTTGAGTGCCTAGAAAAGCTCTATATAAATGTAATGAATTATTATTACATGACATTGAGAGATTTATTTGACTTCTGTGACGTGAGACAGCTAGCAGATGGTCAGTTTAGCCAGCCTGCCTGCTTCCTGACCTGGGCCACAGTTAGTCAAATGCCAGCTCTAAGACTATTGAGTGATGACAGTCTATTATGTATCTTGTCGCCATGGTAAGCGGGGAGGGTGCCAGTGTCTGACATCGTACTTGCAGGCTCATAGACCTCTTTAATGTTATTTTTAGGGATGCCTGACTGATGCAGTCGGATATCATTTGTGCCAACTTGATAACAATTTTACTGAATTATGTTTCGCAAATGAGCATTAGTGGTGTTTTTGGATGGTGTTATTTTAGGGCTGGGAGGATGCTAAGAGACAGGGTGGCAGGTTTGAGAGGGAATACTGCTGGGAAAACTTCCTGTCTGCAAACACGCTACAGGTCAGTGTGCACTCTACCAATCAAACATTAGTTAAACATAATAGACGAAATTGACCTTTTGATATGCACTTGATAAATGGAAACCCATTTTGCTCCTTCCCACCAGATGCTTCAGAATATGAAGGGTCAGTTTGCGGAGCATCTTTTGGCAGCTGGCTTTGTGAATAGTAAGGACCCTAAAGATTGCAGCTCTAACATCAACTCAGGTACTTTGCCTAGACTCTTCGACTGCCATTTACACTTGTACCTTTAAAGATTTGAGCTGTCTGAGAGTGCTGATTTTTAAGGAGCGATGAGCTACTATTTTTCTAACCAAAATCCAAACATGATGTTGACACCAATGTTCCCTGTAATTTTTTTTCTTGCTGAGCAAAACTTTTTTCTATTGGGCGGACATTTTTCGCCACCTGAGCAAAAATATTCTTTATACCTGACCTGTACAGCATACGTAGAAACACAATGGTTTCAACATTCAGTTGTAACTTTTAACTTGAATGTGCCATTTCTATTTTTATTTGACCCTTGATGTAACTTATTGGTATTAAATCATATTTTCGAAAAACAAGCTTCTTAACAAATTAAGAAGTCACTAAATGAAGCACATTTTAGGTTACCTGATTTTTTTTACAGTGCTGTTAACTGTACAGTCTTTGCCAAGAAATCCTATGAAAAATAATTTACAAAATCTTCTGCAGGACAGTTCAATTCTTTACAATAATAGAATATAGTATGAAAGAAAAGTAAGCTGTTGCACTGAGATGGTTTGGGAAAACCATAAAGTGTTTTTGTACAGTCAATTAATTGTGTACAGGAAGCATTAAACCATCAAAGTTAAATGATTGTTTATTGCTTATGAATTTCCAATATTTTCTTTAGCAGGGGGTTTCAAACTTTTTAATGGCAACGAGCCCTAAACAATACCCTTGTGAGATTCTTTATTTAGGCTTATAATATAATAAAATATAGGCCTAATATAACCTAAACAATACCCTTGTGAGATTCTTTATTTAGGCTTATAATTAGGGCTGGGCAAGTCAACGCGTTATTATCGCGTTAACGCATTTATTAATTAATGCCGAATTTTTTTTATCGCACGTTAACGCAGTTTTTTTTTATTATTATTTTGAAAATCCGTTGCTCACTGGCTCTGAATACACATAGGCCTACAGTCAAACCATGGATCAGGGGTGGGATGTTGGTCAGCCAGCAAATAACCCACCCAAACAAGCAGTGGAGAGGCTTTGGCAGGTTCTCTCAGGTGAACAGAAAGGGAGACAGCGCTCCACGAGTGAATGACAGGCGCTCTATGGATAGTAACCATGGCAACGGCCTCTGTGCGCTAAGCAGCTGTAGCCTTTTTAACTTAAATTAAAATTATACATAACTTTACCTGATAGGCCTGCATTTAGTTTAGCGGAGATGCTCTGCCATGTAAATTCCATCCTGTTGATGACGTCCTGATAACTATTTAGATTGTGGAAACTCACAAACAGCGAGCCGAGGATCAGTCTCTATTCCAATGATTTGTGCTGCGCGTCATGTAGCTACAAAAAGTTAGGCTATAGACAATTCAACTTCGGCAACAGGAGGGCGCGGGCGCGTGCGTGAGACGAGCATGACCGCAACAGTTTCACAGGAACGCACCCGCTTGTCGCTGCACCTGTGCTCGACTACTTCACCTCACTCTAGTCTAGGCTGATTTATAATTCTGCGTCGGATCTACGCCGGAGCCTCTACGCTATAGACTACGCGTTGGTTTTTATTTATACTTCTGCGTCGTTGCCCCCCTTGACGCGCAATTACACATGCAGAGGGAGGGAGCGGTTCTAGCAATCACAGCGCTTGCGGCGTAGAATTGACGCATTGTTACATTTTTGGAGAGGTGCACGTCAGGGTACGCGCGCTACACACAGCAGGTAGGCCTACGTAGCTACGGCGTGAGTTCGATGCAGAAGTATAAATTGGGCTTTACATCTGTTTAATGTAATCTTAGTGTACGTGGGAAACCATGTCATGACCAAACCTAAGCTACTATCAGAGAAGTAACGTTGGTCGACTTATATCTGTAGTAGTGGTCATGACCTCTGACTACATAGACTGTTTCTGCTGCTCCCTGATAAAAAATACCTGTTGAGAAAAAAAAAACAAGAAAACTGGACTCGTTTTAACAAGCTAGATAAAAGGTAATGCCCTGGCAGTGGCATAGCTTTGTTTTAATATTTGATTTGATTATGTCACAAGGTGACGAACCAGCAGCGGAACTATATATTCCACGGAGGAATGTTTCCACCCGGAGCGCTTTCAACGGAACACCCAGCCAGCCTTGTATGCATCGCTACCATGGCAACAGCAGCCGCTGATGACAGAGTGACAGCAGGTGCGGCGCATCAAGGGGCTGTTTGATGATTGGGACACACAGTGCTTTGAAACAGATAAAAACCAAGCTTTGGGAGACCAAGGGGAGTTCAGTTCAGTGCAGTGTTCTGTGTTCGGTGTTCGGTTGCTGTGTCCTGACTTTGTTTCCGTCGAGGTGGGCTGAGAGTTTCTGTGGGACAAATCGGCTGGTGAGATCGACCCGCGGAAAGGAATCCGCTACGAAGGATTGGGTGGTGTGGAACAGAGAAGCAGAGGAGAAGTCGCCTTGGAAATATCAAGTCCCCTTCTTGGGTAGAGATAAGTGCAAACCTTTTACCGGCCGTACGGTATGTGATTTATGCACAAAGACACTATACGTGAAGAGAAGCGATCTAGGAAAAGGAGTCTAGACACCGTAACGAGAAGACAGCTGTTGTGATGCATGATTGAGGTCGCTATATATTCTTCCGTCTTACTGTCCCCGCTGTTCAGAACAAGGAGGTGGGCTGTGGCCTTATATTTCACAGAGTGGTTGAGAGTGACGTGTGTTGATGCTGTGCCCCACCGTTTGCGTTTGAAGTGAAGTTACTGCATGCTTACTATACCGAATTCTGTCACGTGCCCATCGGCCTTGCCCTGTGTTGCAGTTTGGAGTTGCTGAGGAAGAGATTAAGTGAAGGTGGAATTTAAAGCTTGCTGTGTTCTGATTCATCATTGATGCTGTTCTGAAGAGCGGAGGAAATCCAGTTATCTGCTGTTCTGAGTGTCCCCCGTCTAAAGCTGCTGCATTCTGTTCCATCATCACTGTTGGGGAGAGTGCCCTCCTTCTCGCCAGCCCTCCGAAACTCTCCGTTACCCGTTGTATGGGGAAGAACCTACTGTACTTGGAGTGCCCACTTGCTGTCCGGTCGACGTCTTTCACCGTTGTGAGCTTCTGTATCCGCTATACTGGGAGGAACCAATTGTACTTGGAGTACCTACTGGCTGTCCAGTCGACGCCCCTTCCACAGCCGTAAGCTTTCTGCACCTACTGTACAGGGAAGAGCCAACCGTACTCGAAACACTCACCTGCTGTCTAGTCGACGCCTTTCTACAGCTGTAAGCTCCCTGCATCCCCTGTATAGGGAAGAACCAACCATACTCGAAATACTCACCTACGGCTGGTGGACGCCGTTCTGCAGCCGCAAGTTGCTGTACCTGCTATACTGGGAAGAACCAACCGTACTCGAAATACTCACCTGCTGTCTAGTCGACGCCTTTCCGCAGCTGTAAGCTCTCTGCACTCACTGTCTAGGGGGGAACCAACCGTACCTGGAGTACCTACTTGCTGTCTAGTCGACGCCTTTCCACAGCTGTAAGCTCTCTGCATCCCCTGTATAGGGAAGAACCAACCGTACTCGAAGTACCCACCTGCTGTCTAGTCGACGCCTTTCCACAGCTGTAAGCTCTCTGCACCCACCGTCTAGGGAAGAACCAACCGTACCTGGAGTACCTACTTGCTGTCCAGTCGACGCCCCTCTTCACCGCTGTACACTTCCTACACTTGAGAGATCGAGAAGATTACATTCTACTTAGAGCCCGAGAAGGATAAGCCGTGCTTAGAGTACTTACCTGCTGTCCAATCCACGTCCCCTTCATAGCCGAGAGCCTTGGCATCCGAAAAGTCTGAGGGGTTGAGTGGACCGAGTCCTCGCCTGTTGCCCGGCCGACGTCCCGGCGGCCACTGGATGCTGAGGAGGAAGGAGGAGTTTTAATTAGGATCTACAAATTCTTTTAATCAATAAAGCCTGTTACATTTTTACTTTCCTTGTCCGCCTGGTTTCTGGTTTGCACCTCAGTGGTACATTCCAAAGGGAGGGGGTAGACCCAGTCGACCCTCCCGACCTGTGACAATTACATTAATGTTTAAGTTGAGATTTACAATAAATATTTTATTGCTACTGTGTAAAGGGAATACTGCTGGTATAAAGCACCTTATTTGTTTAAAGTTTTTGCAAACCATGTTATTGCACTTTTGTGTAGCAGTACATTTAAATCAAAAGTGCGCAATACACTGTACTTTAGAATTCATTATTCACTCTTGCGCGTAACAATGCGATTAATCGCAATAAATTCATGCGATTAATCGCGATTAAAAAATTTTAATCGTTGCCCAGCACTACTTATAATATAATAAAATATAGGCCTAATATAATATTTAAAAAAAACGAATTGAAGTATTTGAAGTGATATAATATAGTTTAAATGCTTCAATTTGTTTACATATTATATTATTATATGAAAACAAACTGAAGCATTTAAATAGATCTAATAGCTAAATATTTTCAAGAAAAGTGAATGTGAACTCTTTTATAATCTAACCATCCCTGAAACTCCCCTACACACAAAAACATCTATTAAAACTAATGATGTATTTTGAATTTGCACGGAGGTGGGTGTGTAATTGTTACCGTTCTGTGTCCATCAACCGTTATTTCCACCACTTTAATCAAACCACTCTTCGTTAAAACATTATGATGTGATTTTATTTCACATGTCTTTGCGGTTCTCGTTGCCTCTCATATTGAGCTATTTGGTCCGCACACACGACTCACTGCCAATCAAACACGCTCACATCATTCTCTTTCTATGAAACCTGTAAACTGCATTCACCAGTTTTCACTCTATAGCGGTTGACCAGAGCACTGAAATTATTTCTCACTTAAACTACAATCAAATGGATTTCCTCACACATTTCGCGTCAGTCCTCTGCGTGACATTTTAATCTTTTCTGCGCGGCCGCCGCTTCAGAAGTGCGCGGCCAAGGCATCAGAAGTGCGCGGCCGCGCACGTGCGCAGCTTAGAGGGAACATTGGTTGACACTATTGATCCCAGAAAAATATTTAGGTAACACTTCACAAAAAGATTCCATTTAATAACATTACTTAATGCATTTGTATTGTGTACGACAATTTTTTCAAAAATGAAATTACACGTCATCCAGCATTTTATATCTTTAAGACACTCTGTCAATTTAGATAAGTTAGTGTTTTCATCTGGTCGTGATGAAATATATAATTGAGTGTCATCGGCATAACAGTGGAAATTAATTCCATGTTTTCTTATAATATTACCAAGTGGCAGCATATATATTGAGAATAGCAGAGGGCCTAACACCGATCCTTGCGGCACTCCATAGTCTACTGACGTTATCTTCTATTTTTCCCCATTTAAACAGACAAAATGGTAACGGTCTGATAAGTACGATCTAAACCAGCTTAATGCCTGTCCCTGAACACCAGTGTAGTTTTGTAGTCGATCCAAGAGTATTTTATGATCTATAGTGTCGAACATTATTTGACTTGAAATGTTAATATTTATGAGTTTATTAAAAAAAAATTACATAGATTTAGAGTAATTAATGCTGTAAATGTCTAATCTAATTTAATCTGTAAAATCTAATTTTCCATGATATTTTGACATAAGAAATCATTGTACTATAAAAACATGCAGAAAGTTTTAGAACACAAAACACGATAGAGATGAATACAGTGGCAAAATACGGCCTGCACACAGATCAATGATGATTATGACGTCATCATTACCTCTTTGACCTGCCCACTGGTGCATTAGTGAATATGGACAGGCAAGAGAAATAACACAACATGATCAGTAAAGTGGTTGTTGTTGTTGTTTTGAAATTATGTGAATATGTCAATAGTGCATTATTTGTCTGTTTGGTACTTTTCTCTTTGGATTCTTTGATAAACCAGTCACAATTTACAAACAGACTTACTGAAAGATATGGACCTGAAAGTAATGCCGCATCATGTATGTACAGTAGCAGTGTTCTATCGCCTAATCTGTGATAAATGATTTTACAACAAACAACGTCTGACTGTACAGGAGGGCTTACATACCAAAATTCATTGATTACTTTTTGTGTGTAGTAAATCAAGCCATTGACTAATTAGTCAAATTGACACTGTTACTCTCATGGAAATCATGTGTTATTTAAATTGTGGTAAGGTTATATAGAGAAAGAGAGCAAAGAAACACTCCCTTTAAGATCGCTGGAGCTGTTCAGTGACAGTGAGAGTTCTGTACTCTCGCCAAAACTCGCCTTATAATCAGAGCTGCTGTCTACAATGCACAATGAATCTCTAATTTACATTGTGTCCACATTGTGTTAGTTGTGATTGAGGAATTGTAAGTGTGAATACGAGATTCAATGGCGAGATGATTGGAATCGTGCGCTTAACAGCCATGATTATGATCAGCTACAATGTTCAGCGATGCAACCTAAGGGAATAGATCTAAATATAATTCTTTAATCAATCTTTTCACAATAAGTTAATCTCGGCAGATACAATTTTGATGTAAAAATTAGTTTCTAGTTGTTTTTCTCTCCGCTCTGTCTATCTTCCTATTCACATTTTTACATCTAACATAACCAATGTTCTTCATTATTTATGTTACTCAGAGAATGAGAAGCTGATTTAGAGCAGTGATAGTAGCAGGTATGTACCCAAAAGTGGCCAAGATTCGCCCCAGCCATAGTAAGAAGAGACCGATGTAAGTGGCATGTATTTCTCCTATTGCTTGTTTTTTTAATGTTTATTTTGGATTATGTGGCCTCCATTCTTCAGTTCATTGATAGGCCTGAACCTCAATTGAATACTTACAGACTGTCACTAGCTGCATTTCCATTACCCTTCAAACTGCGCAAATTGAAATTGAAAATACGCCAAATGGAAGCACATCAATTTCTCCCAAATATCGTTTTTTACTTTAAAAGTGTTTACACTCGCAGGAGGTGGTTGTTCAGGCAATTCGAAAAAGGAATATTTTGCAAAACTGCAACAGCTATGGAGATTATCAATCGTCAATCTACTGATATTCCTGCCGCTCCAGGATGTCAAATGTTGAATTTTCTGTCGAATTTGAACCACTGAATTTATGGAAGCGAATTTGTAAAGCAAAATAAAATGGACTGTCAAAAAAACGCCGTCATTTCGCCATAGCTTTTTATCGACATTTAGAAAATATTCCAAAAGTTTTGTGCAAATCTGTAATGGAAACGCGGCTACTGATGGCATTATCCCAATTTAAGACATCTTCACAGACCTTTGTTCTGTTGTGAAAAATAAAGGGCAGAAAAGATGAAAAGCAATCTCAGATGAGAGAAACGGCATGAAAAGATCTGCATGTAATGTCTTCAGGAGAATATAACCTCATGTCACAGTGGTGGTTTGAAGATATCATTGTCATAACTCTCAGGAGGCATCCTGTTGTGGCGTTTGATTTCAGCTTTAATGCACACAAAGTGCATCAGCGCTCTTTCACAGCCCTACTGCTGCACACCTCCTTCACGCCACTGTATACACCACTTCACTCTGTCCGCTCTTCACACGGCTTCCATTTAGCATCATTCTATTATTTATACGCCATTCTGCCTGTGATTTAAAACCTTTACACTAAGCCTAGCTCAATTTGTTACTGCTCTCACTGCTAGACTGACAATCAGTGTAAACTAAAGTCTGCTTAACATTTATATTGTAGTGAAACCTTATACCATTCAAATGTTTATTTTTTGCTCATCAAGGCTGTATTTATTTGATCAAAAATACAGTAAAAACAATATTGTGAAATATTGTTGCAATTTAAGATAAACAGTTTTCTATACAATATATTTAAAAATGTAATTTATTCCTGTTATGGCAAGCTGAATTTTCAGCATCATTACCAATCATGATCCTTTAGAAATCATTCTAATATGCTGATTTGGTGCTCATCAAACATTTCTTATTATCAATGTTGAAAATGTTGAATGAAAATTACTCCATGATTTACTGACCCTCAAGCCATCCTAGGTGTATATGACTTTCTTCTTTAAGCCGAATACATTCAGAGTTATATTAAAAAATATCCTGGCTCTTCCAAGTTTTATAATGGCAGTGGATTGCAACCAACAGATTGAAGCTCAAAAACGTGCATCCATCCATCCATCATAAACGAATTTCACGCGGCTCTGGGGGGTTAATAAAGGCCTTCTGAAGCAAAACGATGAGTTTATAAAGTTTTAAATATTAAAGGGGTGGTTGATTATGATTTCACTTTTCTAAGTTTAGTTAGTGTGTAATGTTGCTGTTTGAGCATAAACAACATCTGCAAAGTTACAACGCTCAAAGTTCAAGGCAAAGGGAGATATTTGCTTTTAAAGAAATCGTTTTTTAAGGACTACAACAAACGGCTGGTAGGAACTACACGAGCTTCCTCCCGGGTTAGTGACATCACTAACCCTAAAATTTACATAAACCCAGCCCCCGGGAACACGCAGTCCATGTTGAGAAGAAGAGCTGTTGTAGTCAAGCACATTTGTGAGTCAGCTCAAACTGTAGCATCCGTCTTTTCACATACAATAGAAAGTCACTCTGTGTGCATCTCACAACAGTTCGAGCGATTTATAGATTATCCTGACAGAATATGCTAATTGAAAATAGTTAACTCCACATCAGCACCATAAATTCATCAACTAACCATTCAGAGATGTCCTGTTGCATTCTACATGTTGTCACTTCTTCTTAGTCTCTCCATCTTTGTCTGACTCCGGTTTAAACATAAAAGGCAGAACAGTTTCTGACATTTTAGTGTGTGTCTGCTTAAGGTAATCGGAGCTGCTAACACACACACTCTTGAAGCTCTGCCCACTGTTTCGGGAGCTGCAGCTCATTTGAATTTAAAGGGCCAGACACAAAACGGTGCCTTTTTGCTAACCCTCAAAAAGTGACAACTTTAACATGCTATATAAAAATATCTGTGGGGTATTTTGAGCTAAACCTTCACATACACACTCTGGGGACATCAGAGATTTATTTTACATCTTGTGAAAAGGGTATTATACCACCCCTTTAATATTTTTCTTACACAAAGTAAAAATAACTAGCTTCCGGCCAAACGAACATAAGTGTAAAGCGCAGTTGGAGTTCGTTTATGATGGATGGATGAATTGCAATCCACTGCCATTATAAAACTTGGAAGAGCCAGGATATATTTTAATATAACTCCGATTGTATTCGTCTGAAAGAAGAAAGTCATATACTCCTAGGATGGCTTGAGGGTAAATTTGGGGTGAAATCATGGGGTAATTTTAATTTTAAAGTCAACTAATCCTTTAACACTTTTGTGGAAACCATGATTTATTTCAGGATTCTTTGATGAATGGTGTAAGTGTAAATTAACAGCATTTATTTGAAATTATATAAGTTTTGATCAAAGTTCTGTCACTTTTTATCAATTTAATGCATCCTTGATTAATAAATCTTGATTAATACATCTTGTGGATTAATACAGTGGATTAATCCACAAGATGTATTAATGTATTAATACAGTGGATTAATCCACTTGCGTCCTTCGAAGGACGGATAGGCTGCATCCTTCAAAGTCCGCGGCCTTCGAAGGATGCAGCCTTCACATTGGGACACAGCTATTGACTGGATCGATTTTTGAATTATTCTGCATGAGATAATACAAGGGTATGTTCGTAATCTAACCTTGGCCAACACAATTGGAGAAAAGAAAGATTCTCTAAATGGCCTATTTTTTATTTATTTTTTTGTACAAAGAGAGTATGTGAGAAAGCAAGGAAGAGAGACGTTTAATTAATTAGATGTTGTCATACAAGTACCTAGAGTTGCTCATCATTATTGAATTTGCTGTTACATTGCCATTTAGGTCAATCAAAGCAGACTGATATTTGATGTGTTTGGTGAGGTTATCTATTCAAGGATGAACGGCGCATGCGTGTGTGTGTGTCTAAGTGTGGCCTTGTCCTCTGTTACTGGCATGCTCAAGGCTTAAGTGTGAGCAATGAGGGTTTTTTTAGCATTCAAAGAAGAAAACAACTTTAAAAAAGTCTACTGATTTAACATTATTTGAGACATCTATATTTTGTTTGATTGTTTTGTGATATTTTCCACAGTCTCTCTGGTAGAATTTTCAATTGCTCTTGCTTTTGTTTTGTTGTATTCCCGGAAATCTGTGAAAAAATTAGCTTTTAGTCTGGTAAACATGTTTTTTTTTTGCAGCATGGAAAAGGACCAGACTAGGAGTTTCACCATATACCGGTATTGACAATAACTGTAAAATTAAAAAAATGAAATAACGTTATCTCTCAAAAAAGTTAGATCGCCAGGGTGGAAGTTTTTGGGATTCTGTGAAAATGACTCGTGAAAAGATACTCTTTTATTGTTTGGTAGGGGTGATGACGTATTGACGTAGTGTGTGTGTGTGTGTGTGTGTGTGTTGGGTGCGAAAATTCAACATGGCAGCGCGCCGCTGCTAGAAAAAAGATAACAAATTTTATTTTTATTTTTTTCTCTTCTCTCTCTCTCTCGTTTTTTCCGTAACAACATCACCCGCTTTTAACCTAATTCAAAACCTGGATTTCAACTCGGACCTGGACCAACTGGAGGATTACATTGACCATCACTTCAACAGACTCTGTACAATGGGCCGATCACGCAAAGCCAAAAAACCACGCACCTCGGATTCTCCCTCATCAACCGATTCACCGCCGTCACCAACATCACCAGCATCCACTCCTACCAAAACAAACTGCTGTTCCGACATACTTTTATCAATCAACGAGCGCTTATCTAACTTGGATTCTAGACTCTCACTAATCGAAGTACTACATAAAGAATTTCAAAACCTCCGCCATAGCCTGGAATACAGTCAACAACAAGTCGATTCGCTCACAGAAGAAAACAAATCACTGAAAAGCTCCGTGGACACACTCTAGGGCTGGGCGATAAAACGATAACGATAATTATCGCGATATAATTTTCCTCGATAAAACGATAACAACAGTTCGATAAATGCTCGATATAATGCTTACGCACTATGCGTAATGCTGCGCATGCGTTTTTCAGACCGGGCTTCCCAGTGCCGCACGCGGTGTTATTGAGAGACACACAATTGCTGACAGGCTTGGAGGAGTTGAGTGGAGCAAGAAAAATGAGCGATTGTGGAGAAAATACAACGCCCACGACCAGCTCGGAGGACACAGACATCGTTGACAAGAAAGGTCACTCAACTTCAGTGGTTTGGAAATATTTTGGCTATTTGCGATCCGACAAAAAACAGAGCGACGTGCACTGCAAACTGTGCAGACGACTAGTGCCATCAAAGACAGGCAATACCTCAAACTTGTTTCATCATTTAAAGTCCCTGTAAAGTCAAAATTAAGTATGTGTTTTGAGTTTGTCACACCACAGAAAAATGTGTTATTAGTCACCCAGCCAAATTTGAATGATAAAAAAAGCCAGCAAGTACATAAAATAAGCTATCAAAATCTTGAAAAAATGAGCAGTAATCTCTGCTCTCAAACGCTGGGGGCGTGTCCACTGGCTGCGCTGAAACCACGCCCACTCGCGGGAAAGCTGCCGTCGTCGACTCGCCTCACTCAACTCTACAGCCGGAATGGATGCTCGCACGGTGGGTACGCACTGCCGAATGGCACCAGTTGTCGGCGCGACGGGAGGATGAAGGCTGAGGCGGGAGTCGGTTCGGCCCCATTCACCAGTAACAGCGGAT